TGCAGCGCTCTCTGCAGTGTAACTGTTATAGCGCCTCTCTCTCTCTCTCTCTCTCTCTCTCTCTCTCTCTCTCTCTCTCTCTCTCTCTCTCTCTCTCTCTCTCTCTCTCTCTCTCTCTCTCTCTCTCTCTCTCTCTCGCTCTCCCGTCTCCGCGGTTCCGCCGCCACTGCACCACGGCCGTTTGACGGAGCGGCGTCGGCGGCCGTGCGTGGCTCTCGCCGGCTTCCTGATTCAATAACGCTCTCCCCGTTCGAGGCCGCCGCAGAGACCGCCGTCCTTCGCATATTAAACCCTAATGAGCGCCGACGACGACGACGAACGATGATGGATCAGCAGCGTCGCCGTCGACGCGTCGACGCCGACTATCCCTCCCGCCCCGACCGATTTACAGGGAACTCATCCACTAGAGGCCTACGTACAAATGTTGCAAGCGTCCGATATTTTGCCTATTGTGATGCGACCCCGTCCACTGTGCGCTGTCATTCCTATACAATGGTATGGAATGCGTGCCTGTCTTGCGTCAGAGCTTTTTGTGTGGCATCGCTGTGGACCCATTTGATATTTATGGTGATGAATATTTCGTCGATGCGTCCATTCACTGACTGGTCCATGCGTACGTTATTCCGGGCTTTCAGCTATGGTTGGTAGGAGTGATGTGGGTGAAACAATGCACACGAAACACGGACCTGTTACCCCGTCATTTCTTTGGTGAAATAGCTTACTGAAATAATTCTCACATTTGGGAAGCATATTATTATTATCCCTATTCCTTTCCTTCTTATTGATACGGCTTGGCTGTCTAAGTGCACAAGCAGCACATGTCTGTGGAGCTTTGGCCGACTGTTTAGTTTTATTTTATTTAGTTTTATAGTTTTATTTATCTTTAGTTCAGTTTTATTTCTCAAGTTTTAACCCTCGCATGTGTGCGGCGTTTGCCAGCTTCTAATGTGTAGGGGGGGGGGGGGTCAGTTGGACCCCCCCCCTTGCCGTTTGGCCCCTGATCGAGCTAGAGCTTCGCGAAAAAAACGAGCGTGTTGCCCGTGACGAGAGGAAGCCGATGATACCCAATTTTAAGGTCCTAGGTCATTGGTTGACCTTCCAGGTCAGGTCAATGACCCAAAGTCGGGAAAATCGGGACCTGTTAGAAAGTCGTAAAGTGTGGCTGCTAAGGGGTTTTTCGGGGTGCTGATCACGAATATCGTGTTAGTTTTGATCACAGATGATGTCTTGAAGCATTTAGACCAGGTCGGGTCAGGTCAGGTCAGGTCAACCAGTAGGCGTCGTGACGGGTATTCGTAGTAAGTGTCAACCGCCTCTGACAGCTTCGTAACATGTTACGAAGTCACCAAAACTACTTCGTAAATGTTCAAATGGTTGCTAAATTCGAATTCAGCTCCAAAAACTAGCCTAGAAACATGTAAAACTCGAAAAAGTGACCCGAGGTCACCCGAGGTCACCAAAGGTCAATGACCTGACCTGACCTTCAGGTGACCTTGACACACACGGGAGTAACATCAAATCACATGTTTGAACGTTTGAAACCACGAAAAGCTTGCAAACACGCGGCTAGTGCGAGCCGACATACGCGAAATCGCGATTCCGGCCAAACATGGTCTCGGAAAAGAGGTCACAGGTCAAAGGTCATTGGGGTCAGGGTCATGAAATTTTCAGGGTAGGTGTAAAATTGATCAATGCGAGGGTACTGAAAGTTTCGTCGCGATCGGCCGCCTTTTACGCGAGTTATTCGCGAAAAACCATGGGGGGGGTCCATCCGACCCCCCCCCCCTACACATGCGAGGGTTAATTTTATATTATTTTGTTAAGTTTCATTATAGTTTTATATTTGTTTATTCATAAAATTAGTTTTGGCAATTTTTGTCAGATGGCCTATATGTCGGGATTCATGACCCGCAGTCCGCAAACAAAGCTGCTGAGCGCCGACGATCGCTGTGAGCCGTCAGCAAAACTTCCTAAATGGAGAAGAATCAGCGCAATATCTCCATGCATCGTTTTGATGCTTTGGGTCCAATGGGGAACTTAACCCTATTAGTGGCAGGGGGGGTTGTTTTTATCCACCCCTCAGGTTTTTCGGGAATATCTCCGAAACCGCTGAAGCTACGATGCTGAAATTTTTTGACTTTTCCTAAAACTAAATTGGGCACATTCCCTGAAAATTTCAAGTTCATAACGTTACCAGGGGCGGCTCCAGAGCACTGGGAATTGGGGGATCCTATTCGTGAAGCGAGTCATTTGGGCGAAGATCACGATGCTGCACCAGTTTTACGACCAGTGAATGAAAGGTATCATGTGATAACATATACAGTTATTGTGCATCCTCTTTTGACATGTTTTTGCTATAATAGGCGGATCCAGGCGTCCAAAAAGGGGGGTTATGTTTTACCTCCCAACATAGGTGCCCTGACACCGCCTATGCATGACCAATACAATTGTAGTCGTTCTCTCATAAGAAAATTGTAACATAACAAGACCATTACCAGCCCTTTTTAGAAACAGTACCAACAAATACCTTATTTACTATACTTTTTGTGTACCCCCAATCTCAATGATCTGTATCCGCCTATGATTTTTGAAAATGCATATTTTTAGGATCCATGTGAATTCCTGGTTCATTCTCTATCGATCGGCAAAAGTTGCGTTAAGATTGGTTCAGAAACCTGGCCGTGATAAACAGTCTAAAATGTATCTGCAATTTGCCCGTTTTTACCCCCCTCTACCCCCCCTATAGACATTTTTTAATTTTTATTTTTTAGAAATGTAGATCACGTTGAGCGAAATCGAATGCCGTTTGAATTTTGAAAATCGGCCCGTTAGATCTCGAGATATCAAGGGGGGGTCGTAAACAGCCCCCCCCCTGCCACTAATAGGGGTATGCCAGGAGCCTGCCACTAATAGGGTTAACACCTTTGGAAGGTAATGGTCTAAAATACCTTCGGCAGCTCTGCTAGAAAAGGTTATATGCAGCCCCATATTGGGACATAGGCTATGTGAAATAATAATATCCGTAAGACCACAGTTCCACAGTCCCACCTAATAGCTCGTTTTATTGTTTTATTTTGCCTTTATTTTACGATGTCAGACGTCAGTACCATTAGTTCACAACATACCTATATGTTGGCCTCGGCCCTCCTAGAGCTTTGACTGCAAAAAATTACTGCGTTTTAACTGAATGTGAAATGATTGGCTGTATGATAATGTCACTTGTATAGAAGTGCAAGGCTTGAAACAGCTACATCAACAATGCAGCCGTCACAGGCGATAAGGAATGACACGAGCAGCCTGTAGCGATATCGTTGCATGCACATGGCCGGTACACGTACGCAGCGCTGTGATACCCGACGCTGCGGTGCACCCAGTAAGTACGCCTTTGGGATTAGTGCTATAAGACCCGACGATAGCATGATAATTGCGAAAGGGATGCCGGTCATTTTCTGTGTGATACGCAGCCCAACAATAATAAACAACTGCATAGGCAGGCCTACCCGTGTTAGTGGTTATAGGCAGCCATAAGACATGATGCACATTGCACACGATAGTAGGCAGATGCCTAGCCTAATTATGTTGGTAGGTAGGCATAGGAAAATTTATTGTACGAATAAGAAATCCAACAGACTTATTGAAATCAGAATAGCTTGTATAAAAGAATGGCGCTACTTACCAATTACCGTCCGTTCAGCTATTCGAGGCGGTTTCCCAGCCGTAGTTTTTCGCCGATATCCTGTTGCATGGCTTCAGTAATCACTAGTCAGCTCAATCAGGCAATCACTCACTGACTGACGTCAAACTCGCCTACAGTTTCTTTCACTCGCAATCACGAAATGCACTGAAGCACGATAAGGCACCAGAGAAAAAGGACTGAACGCGTGCTGCACTGCGGTTGCTATGCGCCTGCCACCGATATAGTCACGCGCTGCGTAGAAGTTTCTGACCTCTACCGAGCGGTCAAGGTCATCGCGCGTGGGCCAGGGAGGCCGGGGCATGACATATAGCGAAGGGCATTCATTCTGATTCATGTGATGAGGCAAGTCTGCTCATATAGAATAATACTCCCTAGGGCTTTTCAGTTTGCGAAAAAATGCTCGAAAAGCTAGTATACGTAACCACAAGGTCCACAAAGTAGCGAATAAGGCCATTAGAAGTATTTCCCTAAATTGGGCCTAACCTCGCCCACCGGCTGACTGAGGTGATCGTCCGTCAGCCTGGGCAAGACGAGCAAGGATGCGGATGAGCTGGTCCTGAAGACAGCGATAACGGGTTGCGCCCTCATTTCTCTGTGAGTTGTGACCATGTGTGCGTGTAATGGAAGCGAATACAGACATGAACGGATGTCTATAAAGTTAGCATGACGGTCGCCTGTCATCGAAAGGTACAAAATGTAGCCACCTAGCGGTGAGTCCATACCTGAGCATGTTATTCTCACACCACCTTACAGATGGCGCTCCAGTCAACTTAAAGACCCGTCACCGGAGCATTGCTATGGACCGTATGCTTTTACGAGTTGACAGGTCAATGAGTTCTCCCCTACATTGGCAGATTTTATATTCCAAAACTGCTTCATAGTAAGCTCAGCATATTACGCTGACCGTGAAGCAGAAGGGCTGGATACGGCGTCCTCCAACCCCAGCTTATGGGACTATTCAAACTTCATGGTAGTCTGAGGGAACTGGTCCGTTATCTGTCGCGCTCTTTCCCATCATGTGCTTGGCAGGTAAGGTTGGTGAGACCATTTCCATACAGGAAACTGTCTACTGGCTGGACACCCATAAGCTCCACACAGCTGATTGGAAGTGATTGAACGGCCTAGAGCCCTAGTGTCAGCCGTAACGAGCTGCCGAACTATAAATTGTTCTGCTTGCGAATCGTCCGTTCTATTTTTTTCATCTCGATAACTAGCCACAAGCCATCCGCTGCTCGCATTCCATCAACTACAGTCCATCCTCACATCAAAGACCAAACTCAAACACCATCTCGAAACGCCACGATAAGAACGGACGCATTTATTTACACCGTATCTACACCAATCCCATAAATTAGTTCTAGCAAGTAAATAACAGACAACAGCTGACCTCTGTGCCCTGGACGCAACTGGCAGTAACAAAAATATCCTCCTTTCCTGCCGCTCCGGCTATCCGGCTAGCGAACGGCTAGCTGCGTCAGCCGCTAGCGGCGGCAGGTTGTCGGGCCTGGTGTGACCAATCTACCTTGGACGGCACGGCGCCAGGCCGACAGAACAGCGCACCAGCTACTACCTTCGGTCACGAGAGAGCCCCTCAAACTCACTCCAAGCCACATATTCACACACTCACACATGCGCTCGTCAAACGTGATACAAAGCGGAATGTAGCGACGCAAGCCCGCTGCAAGGCCATATAACCGCCCGCTGCGTCAGCCCCGTACGGACGCACTCCACGCCGCTCGTCTAGTGGTGCGTATTTTCAGGCATGGTATGTCACTTACAGCCTATGTCTTCAGAACAAACTATCAGTGCACAAATAGCATCTCTCAGAGCCACAGTCAACAGCACATCAAAAACAACAAAACATCGCATCAAACAGGCGGAAACGGCCAGTGCACGTGCGGCAGTGAGCGAACAGCTTGCGCGCGGCGCACTACGACTACAACAGACCACAGACAGCCAATGCATAGACGGTGCAGTCTCCCGACGGGACGAACGGGACGGGGTACGGCCCCTGTCCGCCACACCAGCACTAATCTCTGAGATACATGGTAATATCGGCAGCGGGCAGACGCCCGAGGCAGAGCGCCGCTCGCGAGCCGTCGCCCCGACAACGCGTATATGTGTATATGTTGCAGGCACTTTAGAAAATCAGTCATTTTGTAAAATGCCTAGGCATTTTGCAAAATGCCTGATTTTCCAGGCTTTTTGCAAAAAGCCTAGGCATTTTACAAAATGACTGACTCTCCAGTCATTTTGCAAAATGCCTAGGCATTTTACAAAATACCTAGCCATTTTACAAAATGACTTAGCAGCGTGTTGTAGATACGAGTACCTAATTATATACGTTTTGGTAGCGTGTAGGTGGACCGAGGAGTCCAGCATTATGACCAGAGGAGTCCAGCAGTGGGAAGTCCATACCTACCTCATAATATGGCAGCTAGAAGCCTGATAAGGGTAAGATGTCGCCGGCTGAAGCGGGATCGGCCGACGCGGGAAACGCGGCAATCACAAGTTTGTGTTTACACACTCATAACTCAAGTTGTTACCGGCCGATTTTCAAAATTCTTTGACCATGAGATTGCCTGTACATTTCTTAGTCTTCTCACAAAATTTGACGCGAATCGAATATAATCAGCGGTAAGGAGCGCGATGTAAAGACGGAACCGTCCCGCCCCGGCACAGTCTACAATTCAGGCGGCGCGTAACGGTTAGCGCCGGCCGCCGCGCCGCCGCGCCGCCGCGGCTGCAGGATGTTTGACCTTACATCGCTATTACAAGAAAAGTTGTGACCCGATTTTCTTATTTCTTGCACGAGAAAATCCACAGTTCAATTCTGGACAGGTAGCCAAAATTTCACATTAATATCATGCTTGCGGCGCGAGTTATTGGCGAAAAACAGGAGTGGTGGGCGGAATCCGCCCCCCCCCCTTCCACTGCGCGTGTTAAAATGTGAGGATGAGAGAGAAAGAGTGGGAAATTATAATTAAATTCGAACGTGTTTTTAATGTCCAAATACATAATGCAGTTTTGTCCGTAAGGGCACAATCAAACAAAGACTACACTCATTCGTTTACATGTAATTATACATCAACCGGGCCTGCCTATTGACTAGGGCCGGTCTCCGGCTGGTTTTGTTAGGTCTAGTTTCAGGCAGAACATGAACGGCGTTGATGTACTTGGGAGTTTTTACAGCGTTAACTAAACAATGCTTTATGCTACAGCCGAGTCTGCAACTCAACCTGGTCGTTACTCAGCATTGTCGTCATCATAGAGCTTCACATCGATCAGCTACAGGCTGAACACGTACCTATAGGGTATAGGAAGACGTCCAAAAACTGTTAGCCATAGTATCTGTAGTGGGATCTACGTTCCATGCTGGTCAGGCATTTTGCAAAATGCCTAGTCATTTTGTAAAATGGCTAGCCATTTTGAAAAAAGCCTGGTTGCGTTCAGTCATTTTTCAAACAGCCGTCTTTTTGTAAAATGCCTAGGCATTTTACAAAATGACTGATTTTCTAAAGTGCCTGCAACATATATATAATAAAATATCACGACATAATATCAGCGGCGGAGGTTTTGATTTCTGGGAGCGCTCAGGACTCGTTTGGCCTGAGGCGGGCTGAGTTGGGTGCTCTGCACACTTAGAGATAAACGGATCAACAACGAGCGCACGGCTCGTTCTACAAACTAACAAAACATCTCGACATTCGTCCGCAATGCGCCGCACCGGACAATGCAGCTCACACAGTAACCGGTGACAGGAAGACACCAGAACATCGTTGTAAACACAGCTCGGGCTAGCAAGGTCTGAGAGCTCTGAATAACGACTTGATATACATGAGTATTATAACTAAACAGAAAACGTAACATTGCATAGCAAAATGGACCTGCAGTTATATATTGCCCTTGTAGTGTCAAGAATGTAAATATTTCCGAAAGAAACGGTGGCAATACCAGAGTGCCACTTCGAAATCCAAAATTACAAAACCAGACACTGCCTGGGGAATATCATCAGTGACCGCCCTGTGGCTAGTTTGATTCTCCGTTGAGCAAAAGATGCCGACTTGCACCGTGCTATCGGCATTGCACGCGACAATTTGTACAGTGCAGGAGCTCTGCCCGAGTGGGTGCTCCGTCCCTGGGCTTCTAGTCGCCCTCCTCTACGATAAATAGCCGCACCGGCCGCCTGCCCGCGGCGGCCGCGCATTTTTTTGATATGGTTACGTTTGTCGTGAGCTGGAGACACGGATCCGTGGAATGCTCCGTTGCTAAATCACTATCTGGCCCGGTCGGCGGGTGTGCCGACGGGCCGCGTCTGTCTCCTGCAGACCGTCTAGGCCACCACGTCCAGCTCCCGGGCGTCGTCCGCCTCCTCCCTGGGCCGTTTGAGCCCGTCGTCCCCCAGCTCCCGCTCCAGACCGCCACTGGGGTGCCGCCTACCAACTACTAGTTCCATCGGCTGCCGCTGCATGTCGCTGGCACCGCCGTTGGCGCGCCGCCGGTCCTCTTCATCGCCGGGTGGAGGGAAGACGGCAGGAGTCACGCCAGTCATCGGACGCAGGCCGGGCATCCCCGGTGGGCCGTTGGCGAGCTGCGCGGCGCACAGACCGGCGGCGTCCCTCTTCAGACCATCTTCCCCCACCTCCCTCTCCGCGCCTCCGCTGGGGCGCCGACGGGGCACCGTCAGCTCCATGGGCTGCCGTTGTCCCTCAGCCTCTCCAACCCCTCCACTACTGCCGTTGGTGCGGTGGCCGCCACTCTGCTGACTGGAGTCGTCCTCGGCGGCTGGCGGTGGCGGCGGGGTCGGGAAGGCGGGCACCTGGGACGGCGGCACAGCAGTCACAGAGCGCGGGTAGCGGCGAGGCATCGTCGGGATCCCCAGCTTCTTGATCTTGTCGTACAGCGTGCGGGACGGAACGTGGAACTTGCGAGACGCCTGCCGAAAGTGGGGCACGTCAGCAACGGGAGAAGGAAAATATATAATGGGGCGTCTTGCGCAGAAAGGAGCCTTCTAACAATAACTTACATCGGATTCTGGCTCTCGAATCAATTACGCCTACAATGACACCGAAACTATTGACACCGAAACCAGAGCTAAAATATTTAATCAATGCGCTTTTTCGTTAAAAAGTACACTATCACCACTCTAGAACGAAGCTTGATGACTAATGACAGTAAAGTCAAAAGAGGTCTATGCAAAAGCGAATAAATGATAGGCACAATGTCAACCACACCGATGCACGACAATATAGAATACGTTGCACTCAGTGAACTACAAAAAAAAAAAAACTGACAGCCACCTCTGTGCCAGATTTGTGTACCACCACTCCCTCCTCACACCCTGACCCACCTGAAGAGCGGTGAGTCCTCCACGGACGGCGTCCAGCGCCTGCTGCAGGTCAGACTTGCTGTACTGCTTGTAGCGCTTCCACTCGGGACGCATCGGCGTCGGTGCGTAGTTGATGTAGTTGTTGATGTAGCTGGCAGCTGTGGACAGCAGGCACGACGTCATTAGATGATGTCCCAGCAAAACGGTCCGCACACACGCGGCTATTATATGGGACGGCACTGGGGAACGATTGGCAACAGATTAAAAATGGATGGGCGTTTGTCGTTGAAATAGATTGAAAAGGACAACTGTTTGACAATGGTTTGATATCTCGCAACGGAGTTTGGTGAAATTGATTCGCACGATCCCGACCTAACACAGATTCGGTTAGATCTGCTCAGATAAGATGTCATGTTTGATATTTTCATCATCTCATCGGTGCGTGTGATCGATGAGCGAATGAGGCCGGCACGGTCCATCACACTGGGCTAATGAAAACCCATCAGTCAGTGGGCACTTCAGCGAGTGCCACTAGCGGCGCCGGCCCGCCCGCCGACGTCTGTTCACACCTGGTCCCGGTCCGCCCCGATCTGCCTTCACAGGGCGGAGACACAGGCGCAGAGGCCGTCCATCAAACGCTCACCGCCGCGCCGCGGTTGTCGCCGCGCGCCGAGCTTGTCGCAGCGTTTCTCCGCGACTGCCGCAGCGCGACATGCAGGTAAAAACCGAAACAACTCGCGAGTTGCGCGGCTTGAAGGATGCATGGGGCGGGGGTGGGTGAGGGCAGAGCTGGTGGGCGGGGGGCGGGGGCGGGGGCGGGGGCGGGGGCGGGGGCGGGGGCGGACGGTCTCGTCGGCGGTGACTCCAGCAGAGCAGCAATGAGACGGTAACACCGGGCGACTGTATGTGGCGGGCGGCACTCCCCGCTGCAGGATCTACCGCCGCAGGGTATACATAGTGGAGGTGTCGCATGAATAGTGGTCATGTGGTAACAACCAAAAAGAAGTGGAGAGCCCGAGAACATACAGAATGAATGATCATCAATGTGTTCACTGTTCCTGTTCATCATAATTCATAACGCTGATAGATGCGCTGCTACAACTTACACTGCGAAATAAGCCGAAATACAATGGAAGCAATCGGTGCATTTTGTGATATTATCAGATCAAAATTATCTGCACATAGTAAATGCGCCAGGTCGCATACCTTCGAACTTCGAAGCTGCATTCTTATCATCAGTTTCAAGTTTGACGGCTGAGGATCTCATTTGGGAGGAGTTACCATGTTTTGCTCGGCTGATCGCCCCAGCAAAACACAGCCATGCTATTCGAGTCATAACAACACCCTTCAGCGTGGCCACTGGCCAGACCGATACCGGTAAGCTGCAAGAAACGCCGTTCAGTGCCTCACTGCCACGCCGAACCGCAGATCCCATACCCGACTTCTAAAGCTTTAGGAGAGCAGTGGCGGCTGCCGCCCGCTAGCACAGTTCATTTCACCCACACCTAAGCTCGACAGCACCCTCCGAAGCCACCACAGCAGCTCCACACTAAACTCGGCTGGGAGCGAGCCATTGAACCAGCTCGCCGCCAACGGCTGCCACCGCAGCGGCCGTCACCGAACGTCGACACAGTGTTGTCGCCAGCCGTCGGTTGCGCATGATCTGTCTAACGACCGGTACAGTTAGGCCGGGGGGATCCAGGGCGTCGCAAGTCCATCTACGACACGTCGCAAGTTACGACACATATGCCGTCGCAAGTTGTGTCGTAGCGGAAAAGGAGGGATGTTGAGGAAAGAGGGGTTTGTCGGAGGATACGACAGAACGTAGCTGCGACGAGGCTTAAATACCCGCTTTACTCGAGAATTTAAAAGGCTACACGATCAGCTGATCCCGTAGTAAACGTCAGTAAGGTCGAAAACTCTATCACGCATAAAGGAACATTCGCCTTTCTGGTTTGCGAGCTTATGAGACAGCAAGGTCAAGCATGTTCTCTGATTCTGAAGCTTTGTATTAACTGGGTGACTTGTGGTTGCTAACGCTCACGTGATTTGCCATAAAATTTGGGATCGATCACAGGAGATTCGTGGCTATAGGGCATCTAGAATCGATGCTTTAGAAGAAATGAGTTCCGAGAGTTTGATGTCACAGAGAGGTAAGAAATTTGTAGATGGAGGTCACAATTGGAGGTTACAGAGGTCATCTGGGACACGTCAGGTCACAGAGGTCAACTTGGGGTCATCAAAGAGCTCAATTGGAGACCACGGAGGTAATCTGAGACACGCCAGGTCACAGACGGCAACTTGGGGGCACGTCAGGTCACAGAGGTCAACCTAGGGTCATCACAGAGCTCAACTGGAGGTCACGGAGGTCATCTTGGACACATCAAGTCACAGAGGTCAGCTTGGGGTCATCACAGAGCTCAATTGAAGGTCATTGGGGCGATCTGGGACACGTCAGGTCACAAAGGTCAGCTTGGTGCCATCAGAGAGGTCACTTAGAGGTCACAGAGGTCATATGGGACACGTCAGGTCACAGAGGTCAACTAAAGGTCATCAGAGAGCTCAATTGGAGGTCACCTGGGACACGTCAGGTCACAGAGGTCAGCTTGGAGTCATTAGAGAGCTCAATTGGAGGTCACGGAGGTCATCTGGGACACGTCAGGTAACAGAGGTCAACTTGGGGTCATCACAGAGCTCTATTGGAGGTCATGAGGGTCATCTGGGACAGGTCACAGAGGTTAGCTTGGGGTCATCATAGAGGTCACTTAGAGGTTACAGAGGTCATATGGGACACGCCAGGTCACAGAGGTTAAGTTGGGGTCATCACAGAGCTCAAATGGAGGTCATCTGGGACACGTCAGGTCACAGAGGTCAGCTTGGAGTCATCAGAGAGCTCAATTGGATGTCACGGAGGTCATCTGGGACACGTCAGGTAATAAAGGTCATGTTGGGGTCATCACATAGCTCTATTGGAGGTCATGGGGGTCATCTGGGACACGTCAGGTCACAGAGGTCAGCTTGAAGTCATCAGAGAGCTCAAAAGGATGTCACGGAGGTCATCTGGGACAGGTCAGGTCAAAAAGGTCAACTTGGGGTCATCACAGAGCTCATTGGAGGTCATCGGGGTCAGCTGGGACACGTCGTTTTTGGAATTGGGAGAATATTTTGGGGGATGCCCCTTGCAACGTCCAAGACCGCCTTTCTGGATTCGCCAGTAGTTGCTGGAATGGTGTTAGGCTACTTCATATCCCCGAATACCCCAATAAATGTGAATATAACATATTATGCACCATTTTTAACACTCTCGCTGGCACGGATTGAGGACTCATAGACGACCCGTCAGTTCAATCTCTATAACTCGCGTTAGCGTCAACGGATTGCAACCAAATTTTCAGGATCTAAAGTTTAAACAATTTTACACCTACCATGTAAATTTCGTGACCATGACCCGAATGACCTGTGACCTGTGACCTCTTCCTCAAGGCAAGGTCAACTTGCGACACAACTTACGACTGCTATTTCAAATTCGTAAGTTGTGTCGCAAATCAGGCTATTTGCGATAGACTTTACTACTTAAGTAACGCTACTCATCGATTGATCCCTTCAAAAACGACTTACTACACAACTTGCGACACGTCGCAGCTACGACGAGGCTTACGACGCTCTGGATCCCCCCAGCCTTAGCCTGCTGATTGCGACGTGCGCGCAGGCAGGCGCGGCGTCCGCGGCGACCGCGCGCAGCCCGACGGTCGGCCTCTTATTTCCGCCAGAGGCTGCGTGGCGCCGCGATGAACCGACTGTGAGTGTTTGTGTGTGTGTCTGTGGTGTCTGTGTGCAGTTTGGCGAGACGCCTCCGGTCAGTGGACGGTCTGCGCCCGGTAAAAAGGCTGCCCGGTGAGTGCGCGTGATGCCGGGCCCGGCGGCAGATGAGCAGAGAGGCAATTTGTCACCGCACACCGGAACGGCAGCTCGCAGAGCCGCGCCGAGCCGGTGGGAGCTGCCGCCGCCGCTCCAGAGAACTGCAGACGAAAGGGAAAGACGGGGTGGATGCAGAGATGAGTCTGTGACAGAGGAGAGAGATGGACGAATGGTCTGAGATGTTCTCCGAAATATAGAGTAGTAAAGTATCGGGTCCTTGAATGACAAATGTAAACTCCCATCTATTTTTGCCGATTAGCGAGCTCTTATGGGATGAAATTTTGTTTTAAAGTTATGAACGAACAGCGCTAAATCAGATGCTTACAGGCCTCACCGCTGCAAAATTATCCCCGTCGGGCGTCGAATAACATTTTGAAACTCCCCAGCAAAAGACGAAGAGAAACTTCACTCCCACAACAACACAACTACAACACCATAAATCATTGAACACGCCACGGTCTAGCGCGTCCCCACCTCCACCTACCCCCTCACACCCGTCCTTCTGGTGCGGCTCGTCTCGGGAAGATACCAAGCCTTCGTCGCTCCCAGGGCGGCGCCGCTTGCCAAAGGACCTCACTATGCTAACGAGCAAAAACCGCGCCGCTCTCGACAGATCTACGGCGCTCGTGGCCGCTGATAGCGTGCACCGATGCTGTATATTTCATGTCGCCCGAGCCTTTTTCAGGCCGGCAGAGCGCTGGAACGGCAGTCCGTGCTGAGCTCGGCACCGTATGGGAGGAGAGAGAGGCAGAGATTAGCGGCTGAAACCGTTCCGCAATCTGAGCGATGTCCCGTGATTAGGTCAGGTGAACGAGAGAGGTGCGCATCGCCTGGTGTCATGCACATAGACGGTTAGAAAACAACTCAGCAAACATCAAACCGAGTGGGTGTGACTCGACCAGTATCCCACGTAACAGATTCCCTGCTTTCAGCGGACACATCTAATAAAGAAACCGCAAATGTCGATGAACCAACGACGGCTATGACCCTTTCCGGCTCACCGCCGCGATGTCACAGAACGAATGTGTGACACGCCGTGACACTTCATGACACCGTGCGACACTGCGACACCGCGGATGGCGTGTCCATCGGCCGTCAATCTCCCCCACCAGTGACGAGTTGCGCTCACAGCGCAGTCCAGCACCGCAAAAACGTCCCGACCGACCACCAATCGACGCTGGGCCGCTCTGTACCCATCAACGGCCCTCAAACGGCGCCGGCGTTCGCGCGCGGTTACTGC